CCGCCGCTGCACCCCACAGCAGTGCTCTGCGGCGGGTTGTGCTTCTGCCGTCGCTGCCGCTGCCGCGGCCGCACTGGGCGCCGCGCCGGAACAAGGCGTCACTACCTTCGGAGCTGCGGGCCCCCGAGTGAGCGGCGGCCGGGCAGGGCTGCCGCTGCCCAACAAGCCCGCGTGACTCGCCATTGACGACCAGGGGCGCGCTGATACCGGGCTCCATCCTCGCCGAGCCCGCGGCCAGCGGCAACACGGCTAAAACGCAGTGCCCAGCCGACGCGGCGTTTCCTTTTCGAAAGCAATTATTTCAAGGTTATGTTTTCACCCGCTGCAGGTGGAAACAATGGTGCCAGCACCGAGAACGGTTTCGTAAGCAGTGCTCGCCCAGCGGCTCCGAGGCCCGGGGACGACGATCGAGGCTTGGGATGGCGCGAATCCCGTCTAAAATTTAAATCTTCCTCTACATATTATCCAGGGGCGCTGGATGGCCTGTATCGGTGCTGGCTGAGCTGGTGGTTGGCCAACGCGCAAACGGCGGTGACGCTCGCAGTAGTGACCACAGTGACGGAAACATGGGCAATTGCTCCACACGTCGAACATGTTACAGGCTCTTGCGGCTCTGCTTGCTGGCCTTCGCGGCGCGTTTAGTTGGCTGAGGCGTCAGCATCGGCGGCGCCGTCGCGCGCAGATGCCGTGCGCTAACCGCCGCGCCGCCGCCTGCGGCTTGCCGCTGCTTGACCTTCTTCTTCGGGGTGCCATCGACCCCCTCCGCGGCACCGCCGCCGCCGCCACCAGCCGTTCCTGCCGCCTGCCTCTTGGACACGCTGGCGGGTTTCCGCGCACTCGCTGCAGCAGCCGCGTCCTGCCCAACACCATCGACGTTTTTGCCGCCACCGCCGCCACCGCCGCCGCCGCCCCCGCCGCCCCCGCCGCCCCTGCCGCCGCCGGCGCTGCGCTCCTTCAGTTTTTTGCCACTCATCGGGGTCCGCACAGCCGCCGCCGCGCCCTGAGCACCAACCCCTGCCGCGCTGGCCGGCCCCGTGGCCGCAACAGCAGCTGCGGGCGTGCCCTTGGCAGGCGATTTTAGATTGTGTGCGACGGCGCGGGTCGGCGTCTTGCCAACCAGCGCCTTGCCAAGAGCCTTGCCACCGGCCGGCCGCTTGGCCGCCTGCACCGGCGTGCGCTCTGCCTCTGACGCCGCCGCCACCGCCGCCGCCGCCGCTCCCGCAGCCGCGGCCGCGGCGCTCTCAAGGCTCTGCCGCCGCTTTTTACCGCTGCCGCCCTCGTGCAGCGGTGCCGCTGCCGCGTCCTTCCGCGGCTGCGGCCCCAGCTCCCCAAGCTCCTGCTTCCGCTTTTTCTGCTTGTGACGGCCGGCCCCCGCGCCGCCGCCGCGCTGCGCCAGCAGCGCCCGCACGAGCGCGGCGCCCCCGCCCGGCGCGCCGAC